TTTTTTTAAAAAGACAATAAAAATAAAAGTGAAATATTTCACATTTTTCACCAGCTTAAAAACCACTGAGTGATTTCCCCACACAGAGTGTACACAGACACCGTTTCTGTGCAGCTCACCAGCACATGAATTAATGTACGTCTATGATCCAAACCATGATCATAATTCTGTGCATGTTTCAGCTACGAGATTTAAAATGGTCTGTTGACATCAGAGTGAAGTGTGTTTTCAGTATTACTCCAATAACATGTTTAGATGTTTTTAGGCTTAGTTTTCTACCTGTTCTTGCGTTTCTCCGTCTCTGGCAGCTGTCTCTACGAACCATGAGCGCCTCTCTACGAACACGGAAGAGCATGTAAAGTTTTCCTGTTGACTTTACTGGGTGCATTACACTTAGTGACCTGTGAAATTTAAAAAGAAAAAATATCAGTGTTATTGATTTTCATTTCATCACACCTCACAGACAACAAAACTGAACATTAGGCAACAACGATCGGTGCTCACCAGAAAATTAAATGAAGTAAATTCAGAAGGCCTCAAAGGGACAATCAAGGTCACTACTCACTGTCGGTTTAAATCTCCTTCCTGAAATTTCACAAAAATATATTTAATGAACTTTTTAGACAGATTCAGATTTATTTTGATTTATTTTGTTGATTTTTTTTAAACAATTTGCTAAATGGTTAATATCGTTTTCTTATTTCCAGAGGTGCACATATCCGCAGGTGCGCATTCGCCGTCAAAATAAAAGACGCGCACCAGAAAAGAAATTGCAACGCGTGTTTGCGTACATAAGATTTTCTGGAGGAGGACAGACATTTGTTTAGAACTCCTAAAGATGTCGAAGAAGCAAGCTCGGTAAGCAATTACTCTGGTGTTCCTCCACCTCTAAAGAAATATCAGAAGGAGTCCGAACCACAAAAGAAGCGCGTATTCTCGGAAAAGTGGTTGCAGGAGGCAAATGATGAATGCACAGAGATTTGGTGCAGGATATGCCGTGAAAATCCCACTCTAGCGGACAAAAACAGTGCCTTTTATATGTACGCGAACGCGCGTTGCATCTTCCTATCTGGTGTGTGTCTTTTATTTTGCACATAAACATTCAGTTTTCTGTTTTTTATGATAGGAAAAGCCACAAGCCTCGTGTTTTTGACAACAACAACAACTAAATCATTATTATTATTATTATTATTATTATTATTATTATTATTATAAACTCTTATTGACACTGTAAACACCGCTATGCCGCTGTTTACTTCATGTTGCGCACTTTCATAAAACCCCCTTTGGGTTTTCATGTTTTGTATCACATGAACTAAAAGCTGTTTGTCTTTCTCTGTCCTTTTTCTGTGAGATATTTGTTTTGTTTTGTTTTTTATCCTGTTTCCAATCTGATGAAAAACAACAGGAGCACACATGTTCACACAGGATGTTTTAACGTCTACTTACTTGTTTGTAAGAGAGCGATCGGCGATCTGTCCACTTTCTATCACATCAATTATATCAACTGATGATCAGCTGGAAGAACAAACAACACTCTGAATGTTTCGGATGAAGCCAGAGCGTTCTCACTCCCGAGGCGTAACATGTCAACGTTTTGTCACGTCCCGCGGCGTTCCTGAGGAACGCGAAAGGTGACCGTCCGCGTTCTTATGGTACGCGGCGGGTTATGGCTGGAATCCAGTGCAATGATGCTCCGTTCCGTAGACGTTCCAGCCCTGTATTCCAGCCCTAAACCTAACCTTATCCCTAGCCCTGACCATAACCTTATTCCTGACCTTAGCCAGGACTATAATGATGTTAAATAGCTTGTTTCTAAGCGATTTGAAGAAAAAGAGCGAACATGTGTAGGTTCAGTCCAGACGGTTCTCATATTTCCTCTTTTTTCCGAGGTCGTCATTTAGGAACGTGGTGGGTAGCCGAAAACGTAATATGGTGACGATTTGTCACCTAGCCTAAAATGTTACGCTTTGGGAGTAAGAACGGGTTGCAGTTGATGAAGCAGAATACCACGAAGTGTTCAAACTGTTAATCCCAGTCACATCCTCTTTACAGACTGTGATCAAACGTGTTCATTATCGGACATGTAACATTTTAGTCCTGCTACTTTACAAAGGCATTTTAAGAAAGAGATAAAAACGTAATAATAATAAATAAATATCAACTGCAGTACAAAACAAAGAAGAATGACACAGAAACACAGCAAAACATACTAAAAGATCAAGTTCATACTCCTGTTGTCTCCTCTTCTTCCCGTTGGTAGCTTTTTATTCGCTTCAACGCGTCGATACTGCGTTTTGCTTCAGTTCTATAATAACACAACATAACTTGTGTACAAGACTCCTCCTCCTATCAGTGATATCATGATATACTGGCCAGTCAGCATGCATCTGTTGGGTTTTTTTTTTCTTGTTGTTTGTTGCCGTGTGTGTTTTAGTTTCACTTTCATTTTGACTTAAAGCACAATGACTCATGTCAGTAAAAGCTGGATCAGATCAGCTGACAAGCTGTTGCGCACTTTATTTAAGTGTCAGAGTCTCACTTGTTATTTTAGGAGGTTTATTTGGATCATCACAGGCTAATAAAGTGTTTTTGGATCCAAAAACTGTTTAAAAACTTTGTAAGGAAATAATTTTCACATAATGATTTATATTTATATTATTTATAACTCCAAATGTCTGCAAAAACAAGAGTAAGGACATCGGGGGTTAAAGTGACAAAAGAAGCAAATGCGTAAACAATCTTTCTTTTCTTTCACTTGTTAACATGTGACTGAAACACTGAGTTATTAAAGAAGAACCACACACTGCTCAAACATGTCCTGAAATGAACTCAACTCACTTTAAAAACGGCTTCTTTATTTATTTTAACTCTTAATACCAGAAGCCTGGAAACATCCCAATCAACATTAAAAAAACAAAACAAAAACAAAACATCAGGCAGAATTGGTGTCTAAATGTAATATGTTAGCTCTGAATTTCCAGAAATCAGCATGAGGATATGAGGTTGATGTTAATAAGGTTGAAAAAATCCTATTCTGAATCACTTCAACAAACACACAATCACATTGTATTTTAACCTGAACACTGTGACCATAAACTGCAGTATTTCACCAACGTAAACATTAATAATACAGAGTTAAGTTTAGAAACAGGTATCGTCGTTAGACTACAATTAACTGAGTACCTACATAGGCAAACCCAGCATTTTGACTATGTATTGTGGTCTCATGACTTTTTCTTTTGTATCAGCTGCTGTACCACTTTATATTTAATGACATCACTTTGAAATAAATAAAATCACATTTTGTGAAAAGACATTTTCCCTCCTCTCTATGTCTTTTGTCTTTTTCGTTTGATCATCTTTAGAAGTATTGAGCACTCACTGTCATACACTTATCGTCGAGGCTCCACTGTGTAGCAGGCAGAGTGGGATCCAAATGTGAGGCTCGGAAAGCAAGACAAAAAACCCAAATGCAGCGGTGTTAATGTAAACATAACATAAGGCAGGAGCAAAAAAATCACACAACAAAAACCTAACTGGACCCACATGAGGAGGACCACACAGGTCCATCAAGACAATTTTCCCAAGAGTCAGATCAGGCAATGCCCTGAGAAACTGTGTGGATGGTTGGAAGGATTTCCAGGAGAAAGCCTCCCATCTCTAAAAAGAACACAGCCACACAGCTAGGTTTGCAAAGTTGGACAAAACACATGAACAATGCTTTTTGGACAAATAAGACCAAAGTGGGGATATTTGTCCGCAACTCATAGCCCCATGTTCAGAGAAAACCAAACCAACACAAACAAATCATACCAACTGCCTGTGCGGTGGTGAAAGGGAATGATTTGGGCTTGTTGTTCAGCCACTGGATCTGTAGTCACTGAGTCAGCCATGCACTCTCCTGCGTAACAAAGTATTCTACAGCCAAATGTAAAGCCATCTGTCCAAAAGCTAAAACTTGGCTTAAACAGGGTGACGATCCCAAACACACCAGCAATGAATCAAGAGGCTGCAGTGGCCCAATCAGACAAGACCTCGACTGTGTAGCGGGACCTCAAGCAAGCTGTACATACACAAATGTCAGCAAACCTCAATGAACTGAAGCAGCAGTGCAAAAAAGATTAGGTTAAATCCAACAATATGAGATACTGATAAAGTCATACAGAAATCAATCACTTAATGTTATTTGAGATCCAGGAAGCAGTTTGGTGGAATAGAGACTTATATATGATTCATTTCCAACTACAGCATCAGTATTCTTGTCAAATAGATGCTCTTCTTTAATAAACAAGATAGATACATGTTTATTAAATTTTAATTATAGCTATTATGCCATTTTGTTTTGTTTCTATCTTGAGTTGTTCTTTGTTCCTTTATATGGATATTGAGCATTCTTTTATTAGATGTAATGACTGAATTTATTTTCCATTCAACTGGAAAATGGCCCAGTTTATTGATTTATTGTCTTAGGGCAGGAGGGAGATATTTTTATGTTGTTACATTTCATGTTTTAGAACTTCATTCTCTTCCACTTGTCTATACCAGGGTAATGAGGGTAGCTTGGATAGGCCCTATCCAGTGTAATTCAGTTTTATTTATACAGCACCAAATACCAGCAACAAGGTGCTTTATATTGTAAGGTAAAGAACCTACAAAAATACAAAGAAAACCCAAACAACCCCAAAATCAAATGACTATATGGGTAAGCCTGTGGTGAGGCAAGGTAAACCCTGGACGGGTTGCCAATCTTAGCAGGGCTGTTTAAAAGCTAAGTTTAAGTTTCTTACATTTAAAATGATCATTTATAAAGAAAATGGAGTGTCTGTTATTTAGTATTATGTTTTTTTTAATTGTTCATTCAGAGAATAAAATCTAAATTTCAAGAATAACATGGACTTAGATGAGCCCCATTGTTGACCTTTTGTTATCATTTTCTGTAGGTTTACAGTCCACAAACAGAATCTTGCATAGAGCTCATAAAAAGTTGGACACAGCCCTGCACCACAGGCCTTGGAGTCCTGTCATACTGGTTTCTGGACATGTGTACTGTGGGTGCTGTTGCCACCTGTTTGTTATGTGACAGTGAATCCTGAAGCATTGGCAAGTTTATTGGCATTGGCAGGCATGACAAAATAAGAATGAACAATGAAGGTAGGGTTGGACCTCAAAGAGATACTTTGTGTTTTCTGGGGATCTTAAAAAATGGTTTCCTGTCCCAGCATCCAACGGGTATCTGAGTGTCACATCTGATGTAGTGTTGTTGGATTTTAAACATATTGTTCAACAAACTGTGTCTGTTCAGAAGGAAAAATAACACATGTAAAATAATATTTACATGTCATTCTTCCAATGTAGATCTTATTCTCAAAATCAACAATTACAAAAAGATAATACTACTCAACAATCCAGCCTAAAATTATAGTGCAATTGCAGCGCTGGGTGGTTAAGATCAGTGTTTCTGTTCTGGGATCCTTTTAAAGTACTGCAAAGTCAGTGACAAAAGAGTGCATGCAGTATAATTTGAAACTTTCAAATGCTCCATGATCTGCTTTACTTACATATATTTTAAAGAAAAAAAGTATGTAATGTATTTGGGAAATGGACACCATAACTCACTGGGTCTATTATGTATTTTTCTAAAATAATTTGTTTGACTTAGAGCTAAGAATCAGTGTTGTAACATCACATATGACTTTTCTATTTTTTCCTCGTTTGAAGGAAATCTTACAGGTGCAAAGATTCCTTTTCTTTTACTTACATTTTTTATTTTTGTATTTATTTTTTAAGCACAGCAGTAGAATTTAATTAAATTAAATTCACAACATTAACAGGCAGGGAAGTCACTGTTGATTTAAGTTGTTTTATTACAGTGTGGACGTTTCCATGTGGTGTTGAACTGTAACAATAAACAGGACAGTCAGACTAAATCAAACGAGGACAAATGAGTCAACCATTTCGATCCAAAGTTTGCCAGTGTACCTTACCATCGTAACAGGTTACAAAGACCTCTTATGAAAAGTACTACAACTCCTGCAGTTGCCACATTTAAAAATGCCATTAGAACAAATAATGATATTATTTCATGACATGCCCTTTCTTCTGCTGCCTTTGGACCTGCGTGGAGAAAACAGACCATAAAATAAACAATTTTATCAAAGCCAACAAAAGGGACGTAACAGTACAGGCACAGAAATCAGCCAATTGTGAAACACAAAAAGGAACAAATCTGGAAACTAAACATTGTATTTAAACTTTAAGGGTAAGAATTGGGCTTGTTGTGCAGCAAGAAAGCTCTGTGATGTCACAGTTGGCAAATCTTTTTGCAGTTGATCAATGAGTAAACCCACCACCGTCTTTCAAAGGAAGTCCTGAATTAACTTCAGTATCACCTGCAATCAAAACGTTATTTTTGTCGTCCACCTTTATTTTCCTCGCAATCATGTGCAGAGACGCAAAACCTGTACAGATAAAACAAAGGTAGAAACAGGAAAACTTAAACAATAGAAACAGAAATGATAATAATAATAATAATAAACTAGGTTCAAAAGTAGATGTAATAAAAAGACAAAACCAAATACATCAATCAAAATGACATGCATCTATTCACTGAAAAAAGGTAAGTTGTTATTCTTTGTTTTGATTAATAAAGCATGAAAAACTTGATTATGAATAAGAAATTCTGCCTAAACGATAAATGATTGCAAAATGTACATCATGTTATTTAAAATTATATATCTATAACATGTATTTCCCGTGAGATGTCGCCCTGTGTTCATTACATGCTTGTTTGATTGCATGGCAGCTATCACAAATGTGATGAAGTTCAGACAATTTTAACTTAAATATGTCACGGCGGGGTAGTGAGGCAGTGGACCCAAATCCAGACAGAGAAGAAGACGGAGCGGAGACTTGAACCAAAAGCGAGCTGTTTTATTTAGGCTGGTAAACATGAACAAAGGCAAAAACAGGAGCAACAACTAAACTGGAACACATACTGGGGAAACTAAAAGACAACTGTGACGAAACATAGAGACAACTTTAAAGACTATGACTGCTATGATTTCTATGACTCGGCGTGGTAACACAGACGTTCTGACAAAGACAGGCTAAACACACACAAGGGATGATCAGAGGAAGTGGAAACACATGGGGAAACAGCTGACACTAATGAACATAATGACACCACAGGGGAACTATAAAACTAAGCACACTGAACAAGGGAACACTAGACTTCCAAAATACAACAGGAAACACCGAGACGCTGGCATGACATCACAAACCAGACAACATGAAATACGCAGACAACAAATACATGACAAACTACCTAGAGAAGAC